TAGCATCTCTAAAAATCCTGTTTTGCATTCTATGACTGAACACATAGAGATAAAACACCATTTCATTAGAGATCATGTACAAAAAGGAACCTTCAAACTAATATATGTTAAAACAGAACAACAACTAGTAGATATCTTTACCAAGCCCCTTCAAGAAGATAGATACATCTGGTTGAGAGATAGGCTAGGAATAGAACTGATAAGTGAACAATAAACTATTGTTTTGTATACAACTCTTTATTTTTGATGATTACAAAGGGGGATAAGTAGAAAAGGATCTATCAAACTTGTCTAAGGGATAATTAAGTGAGGGGGAGAGCCTTAGAACCCTAAAACCGTAAATGCTTGATGATTTCTCTAATGTATGATATGAAATGCATGAACTTGATTAACTATTTGATATGCATAATCCTGTATGTATGTTATATTGTATCTAAAACAAATTGATAGATTATATTTGTCATCATCAAAAAGGGGGAGATTGTTATGATAGATGAAGAAATTGCCAACAAGGTTTTGAACTTGACAAATATAATACATATTGTTATTTCTAACATGTGTGTTAGTGTCTCAGATAAATATAAGAACAGACAAAATTGAAAAATGAAGAACGTGTTATTACACATACTATGGTCAAACCAAACGAAGTCTGGTTGAGTTGTACAAACTATCAAACGATGGTTACTCAAGCATCCAGACTAAGCTTGATCAAAAGCCAGACGAAAATACAACGAATACAAGACAAGGCGTACTACCAGTCGAAGGTAAACAAAGTATCAGACGATGGATAACACAAGACGAAGAAACATTCCAGACGAAATTAAAGAAAGTATCAGATGATGGAAAACACAAGATGAAGAAACGTTCCAGAAGGAATTAAAGTCTTCCATCTTCACAACTGACCAGACGGAAGGAAAAATCAAAGTCTACTTCTCAAACGGACACTCAAATTTAAGATGCATTACCAGACGCAGACGAAGAATACTAAAAAGCATCTGAAGTCTACTATTCATAACAAGAGATATCAAATATCGTCTATACTCATAGAAGAGCACACGAAGTCATCAAATTTGTGAGAAGAAAGAATAAAGATAGACAAGCGCGTATCCACAAGTCAAAGCATGCGTGTGTCAGAGAAAGTACACCTACTTTTTAGAAAAAGACAACGCCTCTACAGCTACACTAACAGAGAGAGAATAGAAATACCTAGGTTATGATTAAAGTCAGACAAAGAAGTGAATGAACTACACAAAAGACTTCACGTAACATAGATTCAGTAAGTAAACATTTAATGCAAGATCAAATGCATTAAATGAAAGATCTATATGGCCATGAACGAACTACTATCTACGCCAACAGGAAGCTCTGCTCCAACGGACACGTTCAAATTTAAACAACGGGGCAGATTTATCACGAGGCTATAAATATCAAGACCTAACAAGAAAAGGAATAAGAAGAGAAGAAACGAGAAACCTTCATCTCTTCCTGTACAGTCTTGTATATTTGTGTAAATCTAAGTTAGCTTATCTTAGCGAGTATTGAGACTATCCTATCCTCTCTGTGACAGTAATACACACACTCAAAACACATATCTCTGTAAAACTAAGGTTGCATACCTTACCAAGTGTAAAAACCATCTTATCCTCTCCGTGAGAGTTATACACACAATCAAAATATCTATCTGTAATAAAGCCTGAAGAGGCTAGTTGAAAGAATATTTGGGGAACCAAAAGTGATTTAAGAATACTAGCGCTGATGAGTGAAGTTGGCGAACCAGGAGTCGTTGATAATACTTGGGGAACCAGAAGTGGTTTAATAATACTAGCGTTGACGAGTGAAGTTGGCGAATCAGAAGTGGTTGATAATACTTGTAATCCGTCGTGATTAATGGAACCCTTCGGTTGAAGAAGACTGGACGTAGATCTGGTTGAGCGAACCAAAATAAAATTATTTGCACTTTTTATCTATTTCTTAGACGCAATTTTGTTTAGCTGATATATCATAATGAAAATTTCGTCCACTGCTTATTTTTCACTAACTATCTTTAGACGGAAAATATACACTTGCTTAACTTATTATTTTAAGAAACGTTTTCCTTGTACAGATGATAAACTCTCAGACGCAAAATCTTTTGCTGAGCCAACCTTGCACAGTTTTCAAGTGTTCAAAATAATATTTTTATTAGACGAAAAAGAGAGTCTCTTTGCGTAAAAAGTTTTAAAATTCCTTCGTTCACACACACATTCAACCCCCCTTCTGTGTGTTTTTTCGCTAACTTCACATCACACATAACTCATCACACATAACTTCGGTTATCGTCGCCTAAATCAACTGCAACCATAGTGACATTGTTGGATATAGTGTCGGCTTTTGCAACACTAATTTAATTTGAATTTAAATTAAATTAGTGTTGGAAAAGTTGACGCTATATTTATATAATAACTTTGGCTTTTCTGACACTAAACTTAATTTAAATTTAGTGTCGAAAGAGCCGACACTACATCTTAAAATAGCGTCGGCTTTTTCGACAGTATACGTGCTTTGAGAGAGATAAAGATAATTTTTTCAATGTTATATACGCATAATGTGTTGTGGTGCACTTGGTTATCAAGTTCACTTAAGACCTCAAGGTTCACAGATCGATTCCCAAGAATGTTAAAATTATGAACGAATGTTAAAAATATGAACAAATAAATGATAAGTTGGAAAAAGAAAATAAAGAAAAAAAAAATAAATTTTGTGTCGACGTAGTGTTGGCTTAACTGACAATAAAAAATTAAAATAAATAAATTTTTTATCGATGGCTTAGCCGGCACAAAAAAATTTGTGTTGACTTATTTAGCGTCAGCCAAAAATCGATGAATAACCAACAATATTACGTCGGTTTTTATGATAGCCGACTCTAAACTACAACATTTTTGTAGTGGGCCCAAAGCAGACAATATCTCATTATTGTGAAGTTGTGTGTGAAATAATCTTATAAAAATGATAAAAACAAGTTTTACATCGATAAATAAAAAAATAAATAATAATTTATAAAGTATACCCATACTCTAATAATTAAAAGGCCTTTTGGATGATAACCAAAAGCAGAATCGTGAAAAATTTAGGTCCAAAATGGACAATATCTCATTATTGTGAAATTATGTGTGAAATAATCTTATAAAAATAACCCTTATAAAATATTTTTTCAAACAAATATCATAAAATAACTACGTCAAACAATTCTAAAAGCTGACACATTTCACATTTACAAGTAGCTCCCCGAGACTGAATCCTTTTAAATGGCTTGCAAGAACTCACTTCATAAGTCACCAAGTTTGATATTTGCTTATGAGAACTTGATCGAGCCTTTCAAAACAACCTCCCCTCTCTGAACTTTTTACAAATTTAATATTTACTTTTAACAAATTCATTCTCGTTTTCAGACTTGACAAACAAAAAGTCTAGTGTAATTGTTATTAGGATCTTCTTTATAGAGCAAGAAACGATAAAGCATAACAAAGAACAATTGAACACACAAAAGATTCTGAATTTCCTCTCTTTATTATAGAAAACTGATAACAAACCAATCCCCTTAAGATTTTTCTCCTTCACAGTTAAACTTTCCAAAATATTCAAAAGTTCTCCTCACTACTTGACGTAGGGCTTATTTATAAGGAATACACAACTGAACTAATTATCCCTCCTAACTCCTATTGGTCTGTTATACTTTGATCCCTTCCTTTTTCATATAATACTCCTGAAGACCCTTTGATCCCTTCCAGATTCCATCCTCCGATCAAATAAATTAGGGACAGCGGTCCATAATGCAGTTAATTCTAGCTTCCTGCAACATCACATTTAGTGGAAAAGCAAAATTTCAAATATGTTCTACTTCTAGCATATAATTAAATTATGGGTAGCAGTTAAAAAGGATAGCAACATTTTTCAATTAGTTAGTGAGTTTGGGGTACGCGAAAATTTTTCCCCGGACCTCCTTTGATTGGACTTAGAGAACCACCAGAGCTATAGGGATAACAACAAACACTTTTAGAATTTTCAAACATTTGAGACACTATCTTGTTAAATCCAGTCAATTTATCTGAATTCAACTCATCAAACTACTTTAAAAGCTGAAATGCAGTCTTTTCATTTGAGTAATAAAATAATTACCATTATCTGAGACTGAGAGGTATGGATCAAATGTGAAGGATCTCATACATGTTGAAACAGTATAGCTACAATAACATGTATGACAGGAAATGGTTCACAATGTTTCGCTGGAAGCAGAAGAAAATAAGTGCAAACGACACACTAATGTGATTTGGGAATCATATTTGTGCCCATGAGAACCCACAGCAGGCTGGTTTTACCGTGTGTAAAGCTTCCCACAAAATTAATTTACTCACTAAGAATCAAATTAGGCAATTTCTTAAGGAAGATTTAAAAAAATGATACTTGAAAAATTATAAGAAGAAATATGTTGCAATTTGGTAAGAAGCAAGCAATTTTTCTGAAAAAGGAAAAGAAAAAATATATCAAATCTCTATTAGAAAACTTTTTGCTAACACATGATTTTTTACAAACTGCCCTCATCAAATTTATTTTATGTGTTATTAATTTGGCACTTTGTCTCCCATCTATATATTGGATACATCTGAATTCCAAGTACCAAATTTTAGGAGAATGAGACAGATGACCCAACAGAGAATTAAACCAAGACATCATCAACATATCCAAAATTCAGTTGAGATAAAAATAGTCCTTTAGAGAAAGCACCTGAATAAAACATGTTGCTTGACTTGATCCAAATCTATCTTATAAATGAATTATTAAACAAAATGGAATACTTTACTTTGACAATAAGAGCCATTCCTTTCTTTTTATTCCCTTCTGAGTTACATTCCAATGTAAGTAATAATTGTTAATGATAGGGGTAATAAAGTAGTCAAGTTAGGATAAAGAATTATATTAATAATTGCAGTAGTAAGTAAACTTAACAATATAAAAAACAAAGGTTACAATGCAGCTGCTAGCCTAGCCTTGAGCCACTGGCAGAACTTTGTCACATTCACTACATCGTTAGCCAGTTTGTAATTCTGTTCAAGCACCTCGTGTAGGCAATTCTCCAAGGTTTCCAAATTAGTATTGTCCCTATTAAGCCCCAAAAGCCTACAAAGTATCCTATCCCCAAACTCATGTACAATGCTTCATAGAAAATAGAATCTTCTTCATGCACAACTTGTTCTTGAGGCTTCACTATTGTCTCATCTCCGGGACAACTTTTGTTAACTTGCTCTCCACAAAGATCATTATTTCCTTCAAAAATAGAGGCATCATAGGTCTCAAAATGTCTTCCCGATGGGATTCTTCCTGAGAGAGAATTGTGTGACAAATCTAATTTTCCTAAACCATCAATTTGTGTGAGAGAAGATGGAATTCTCCCACAAAAATGATTTCTTGACAAGTCAAGGGAATCAAGTGAACTTAAATTTCCAATTTCAAAAGGAATTTTTCCACTCAAACTATTTCTCGATAAATTCAAAGAAACTAGGCCAAGCAAATATCCGATCTCTTTTGGTATTTTACCTGTTAAATTGTTACATGAGAGATCAATGCCCTTAAGATTCAACTCGGGTTCCTTGAATTGTTGTTCCAATCCTTTCCACATCCATGTGATGTCAAGCGTATAGTCTTGAAGAAACAAGGAACGATAAATTTGATCGTAAGTCGTATAATATTCATATATACGACTATATGTTTCACTTTTATTTATGCTTTTTTCAGACATTGCAGTAAAATTATTTATGCATGTTGGAATTCCTTTTGACAACTTATTCCTCGAAAGATCCAACATTTGAATATGCCTTAAAGAACAGAGTTGAACAGGAAGATTTCCAGAGAAGCGATTCCCTCGCATGATCAAGATTATCAATTGCTGCATGCTTCCTCCAATCCATGATGGTATTGGACCAGACAAGAAATTTTCCTCCACATCCAGCACAAATAAATTGCTGCAATTTTTCAAAGTTGAAGGCAATTCACCCATTAAACTATTACCTCCTAAAATCAAAGCTTCCAATTTAGCAAGGGTGCCCATGGAGATAGGAATCTTCCCTGACAATTGATTGTTTCTTAAATCAAGAAACAGTAATTTGTCAACAGATTTCCAACAATCTGGAAGTTGTCCTTTTATTTGATTCTTTGATAAATCTAAAATGGCCAACTTTGCAACTGTCCTTTGGTCACATAAGAATGAAGACAAGTCCGAAAATTTATTTTCAGAGAGCAACAACAATGAAGCTTGACGCAAAAATGAAGGAACGATGCCCTCAAATTGATTTGAATTCAAAATTATTGATGGTCCAACATGAAGCTCCAATGGTATATTAGGAATAGTACCAGTGAGATTATTGTGAGACATATTCAACCGGTTCAAAAAGTGCATGTTGTTCCAAATCCATTCTGGTACGGAACCATTAAGCCCATTATCAGATATATCCAGATAAGCCAATGAACTTTGAGTCTGGAGCCAACTAGGAAAACTCGGGCCTAGCTTGCAAGATCGTAGACCCAAATATCTTAATCGAAATGGAGGAATCCAGCTAGGGACCAATTTTAGAGACAATGAGTTTCGTGATAAGTACAAATATTTTAATTTAGAAAAATTAGAAAGATGAGATTCAGTGACGTCACCCTCTAAAGAATTCCCATCCAAGTATAACTTCTCCAATTCAGATAACAATGTGATGCTTTTAGGTATCTTGCCAGTAATTTGGTTATAATATAAATCCAAAGTCTGAAATACGTGTCTGTTGCACCATGAGGAATTTTGAAAGAAACTAGAAATTTCCCCATTCAACTTGTTATTTGAGAGGTATAATCTCTGCAATTTGCACATGTTCCCAAAGAAAGATGGAATCTTGCCCTGTAGTTTGTTATAGGAGAGATGAATAACTTCAAGAGAGTTCATTGCTTTTCCAAATACATCTGGAATCGGACCTTCTAACAAGTTACCATTAAGGTAAAGAGTATTAAGATCGGTGGTGAAGTTAAAAATCCAATGAAATATATCGGATGATTTCAGCAAGTTATTGGAGAGATCAAGGTAGAGAAGAGAAGATGAGGAATTCATTGTGGAAGTAGATGAAACAGTAAAACTTCTATCTGTAAGACTGCAGTTTTCTAAATGAAGCTCTTTCAGTTTTGATCCAAAATTAAAATTACCTTGAAATATTGATGATGAAAGATTATTATAAGAGAGGCCAAGGATCTTAAGAGATGGAAAATTTGGAAAAAGAGAAGATAACAAATGAAACGTTGAGGACGTTAGCAGATTAGAAGAAAAATCAAGGATGGTAAGAGAAGTGGAAAAGTTGGAGTAAGAATAAAAGAAGGATTTGATATCAGCATCTGAGAGAGAACAATTAACAAGCCTCATCTCTCTTAAGTTTGGAATAAACTTACTTATAGTCTGTAGCAAGTGACGAGAGGCAACAAGATTGTGTAATGAAGTGAATTCAAGAGTGGTTAAGGAAGAGAGATTAGAGAACCACTCTGCATCCTTATCTTTTATATCAAAATTGCCACCCAGCCGGAGTGTATGCAAGAGAGGAAGATTTCCAGTCTGAAAAGGGATAGCTCCAGAAAGAGTGTTACTTGCAAGATTAAGAAATTGTAGCTGTTTGAGATTCCCAATTTGAAACGGGATTTCTCCCGAAAGATAATTGTGTCCGAGATCAAGATATTGTAACTGTCTGAGATTCTCAATCTGAAAAGGAATTACTCCACCGAGATAATTCCCTCCGAGGTCTAGATATTGTAGTTGTGAAAGATTTCCAAGTGTAGATGGAATCATGCCACTGAATAGAGAATAAGAGAGATTGAGATATGTTAAGTTGGCCAAGGAGCCCATGAGTTCTTCTGGAAGGTGACTCCCCCGAAAATAATTATTGCTGAGATCCAGATGTTGAATGTTATGCAAGTCAATCAATGAAGTGAGATTGATGAATGGACCTCTCAAACATTGTGCATTTGCATACCGATCACCATGAAGATGAAGTAGTTGTATGTGGCCAGTTTCATTGTTGCACTGAAAATGCCTTTCCATTTGCAACAATCATTGTCATGGTCACTCCATGTAGACAACATGCCATACTCATCTAAGAGACTTTGTTTGAAGTTTAGGAGTGCTTGTCTCTCCCTCTCTATGCACTTTGCCTCTTCCAACTCTGAGGAATGCAATAAGAGCATGAGCACAGCATAAAACATTGTGAACAAGTAACGACTCATTATAGTTTTGCTGGTGAGAAACAATCTTAACTAAGAACAGAGCAATAATTTAGCGAAAGAGAATTATGATGGAGTTTTTCTCTGTTGCTTGAGATTGAAGTTCACATGATTGGATGGCATGACAACATTTATATAGTGGTTGGCTCTCTATGGAGCAATAGTTATTCACTTCTTACTTCTTAGAGACCAGCAAACAAAAGTCTGAAAAGTTGATTTTAAAAAATTAAAGATAATATTTTAAAAAAAAAATGGGAAAACTGTTAGGGAAAAAAAAAAAAGAACGTTCATTTTGATCCAAAATTTCTCCATTCTTTTTTCTTCTTGCAAATGTTTTGTTACTTTGTTTTTCTTATATACATATAATTTAGTGAAAAGACTTAAATTTAGTCTTTTGTAGAAACGTGTCTCACGTAAAAACACATCATGCTTATCACATGGCATGTCTATGATTTCAAAAGATTTTTATAAATCCGAAAATGGTAACAAAAGAAGTTCATTTTGATCACAAATTTCTCCATTCTTTTGTTCACACTTGCAAATGCTTCGCTACTTTGTTGCACGTTTATGGTATATCATTGATCATATGACTTGGGTATTTAATTTTTTAGCGATATATTTTATTTATTTTTTTAACATTACGGGCTAGTGCGGTAAATCTCATGAGTAGAGTTGGAAATCTGAGTCACTTTCCCTGAGTTTCTGTTACCTAAGTTTATAAATAATTAGAGATAGACATGCGTGATAAAAAAAATATATTTTAAAATTAAAATATTATTTTATAGTTAATATATAAATTTTATATATAATTTTTTTTTAATTATGTAATGTAAGTTTGTTATTAATCTTTTATAACAAATAAATTTATTTTCAATAGTGAAATTACAATTAATATTGCTTCATTTTTATTTATAATTATAATTAATTTATTTGTAACTGAAAATTTAACAAAATTTATTCTCTTAATTAATAAAATCATTTTTTTGTAGGGGAGTTAATAAAATCATTAAATATAAAATTCAAGTAAATAATCTTTTTAAAAAGTTCATAATTAAAGGCAATATATTTAAATAAACATTTTTTATAACTAAATTATAAAACATTCTATTTTAATATTTTTATCAAATTAATAAATTGATAATAAAGAATATACATATATTTATTATTTTCAGTAAATGTTCATATACAAATCTAATTATTGAGAGGATTGTCAAAAAAATTATTGTTATTTAAAATTAATATTCACTAAAAATTTATTATTTTAACACAAATGTCAATTAATAATAATTATTAAGTTTCGACAAAAGTAATTTTTTTTAATAATGATGTATAATTAATATTAATATTAATTACTATTGTGATACTTTCTACCCAGCATACCATAACACATAGATAACAAAATTTGAAGAACATAATCTTTCATAATTAAAATATCAAACGTGTTCAGATAGAGAGCACTACATCCATGACTTAAACAAATTATTCAGCGAAAATTACAAAGAAATAAGGCTAAGGTTTCCAAAATAATTTAATAAAAATAACATCCTAAGCTAATCCTATCTACGCCCCGATGTCACATGTCCTATCAGAGCAAAGCCTAACATTGAAGTCTAAGCTTCATCACCAACATCCACTACTAGAAAAATACTGTTTTACGTCGCTATATTTACATCAGTTGTTTAAGAAACGATGTAAAAAATATATGCGGTGGCAAACTTGTAATTAATTAGAAAATATAAGCAAATTTACATCGGTTCTTTTTAAAACCGATGTAGAAATGAAGTATTCTACATCGGTTTTAGGATCAACCGATGTAAATTTGGTTATATTTAGGGTTTTAAGAAAAGTAGGAATGGGTTGCAACCAATCGAAGATCGAGAACGAGGAAGCAGTGGCGCTACAAGGAGAGGAAGCGGTACATGAAGGAGTCGGTGTCCTCCCGCAACACATTCACCGCCACCCACTCGTCCTACGACACCTGCTTGAAGAACACCAAGCACCGCCCTCGGAGACAAGGACGCTCTGCCACTGCCCTGCCACCCCCCCGTGCAGCGTGTCGCTGGGCGCGGTGGAGTGCAGAGATTGGGGAACGAGCTGTACAGAAGCGGCAGCTTCGCGGAGGAGCTGGCGCTGTACGATTGCGCCATCGCCATCTCGCCGGGGAACACCGCATGCCGGAGCAACTGCGCGGCGGCACTCACGGCGGTCAGGAGGCTCAGCAATGCCGCGAGGGAGTGCCTTAAGGCTATGAAGTTGGACCCTGCTTATGTCAGAGCTCATAAGAGACTTGCTTCACTTTATCTTAGGTAATGCTGTCACATGAAAATTTGAATTTGGATTTGGATTTGGATTTGAATTTGAGTTTGTTGACATTGGGATTTTGAATTTGGTGTAGGTTTCGACAGGTTGAAAATTCGCGGCGGCACTTGTGCCTCCATGGGATTCACGAGGATCAATCTGAGGAGCAGAAGCTATTGTTATTAGAGAAGCATTTGAATCGTTGTGCTGATGCAAGAAAATTTGGTGATTGGGAGAGGCGCTTAGGGAATCAGAAGCAGCCATTGCTGTTGGAGCAAATTTTTTGCCTCAGGTACTTTTTGAATTTCTCGTTTTAACATTGTTTATGTTAGACATGTAATGTAGAATATAAAATTGTTCACGTGTCTTCAGTTGGTAGCGTAAAATTTTGATTGTTGAGGTGTGATTGATTTCTGTTTCCAAAAGCTATTTGGAGTTTTCAAATTGCAACTAAACAAGGTTGCTGAGAAAGCTGGTGGAGGCTTGAAGAAGGCTATTGATTTCTACGGTATTACTTTTCCTGATTCCTTTGCTTTTATCATTTCCTACAATTATTATTCAATACTCAATTTCATTTTGCTATCAAATATTTTGTAGTGCTCCATGCTTGTTTATTTGCATATACTTTGTGTTATTTGAGTATTGAATTAACAGCAGGACGTATAGGTTTGAATTTGATTTGTATATTGGTCGTGGACTCTTAGTCGTGCCTTGTGCTAAATTGGACCTATTTTAATTTAACTCGCTTAGGATGTTTTTAACTGAAGTAGCTGAATAAACCATCAATTTAGTTTTTAAAGTATTACTCTCTTTCCTAATTAGTCCTTAGAGTAACCAAATTATATATACAGTCCCTAAAATATTAGAAAATATGCTACATATTCCTCAAAACATTGAAAACCTTCAGTTCCTCTCAACATGAGTGATTAGAAAAATATAATTGGGACTAATTTGATGAGTTTTCGGTACATTTTAAAGACCATTTAATATTTAAGAGAGGTGATACTTCAAGGACCAACTTGATTGTTTAGTCAAAGTAGTATCATTGGTTGGAACTATGTCGATCTCCATGTTTTTCTAAGAGTGGTCTTATTTTCTGGTGTCATAGAGGAAGTGAAGGCAAAGCATCCTAAGATTACATATACAGACCTCTACCAGGTGATCATTTGTCTTAATTCAGTTGTTGTGAAAGTCTATTGAATCTGATAATTTTGTATTAAATTTGTTAGGTGAAAACTGAAAATCGTAGAATGGGGTTAATGGACTTCTAAATTTGCCTGGGATGTGCATGATAATTGATTCAGGTTTCCGTTTTCTGCCATGTTCAATTAAAATTACTCTTTTTGTACACCATTTTTATTCAGAGTCATGGATATGCTGCTAGGCTTTGGTTTTTCCGTAGTGTTAGGTGGGGTTAGTTTATGACTCTTTTTCTTTTTTGTTAATTGATCGATTGAATTTTAGTATGAAGAGGACGAATGAATATTAAAAGTTGCAAACTTAACATGCCTAGTGATTTAGTGCCTTGTTACACTTGAAACTCGTCCTCTTATACCTGCTTTGGACTAGTGATGTAGTGCTTTGTTACACTTAAGACTTACCCTCTCATAACCATAATGTTTGACAACTCTAATGCAGCCGTGATATGTGGTTCTAATTAACAACTGCATAGCCTCAGACGACTATGATGGATATCAAAGTCCTTGTGCAAACAATCACATCTACACCCACAACCACAATTTAAAACTAAAGACCGCGGTTGCAAATAGATTGACAATTAAGTGTATGGAAGCAATGTGAGTGTATGGAAATGAATTTCTTGAGGTTCCTAACTATTAGTTTTAATATTTCTTTTATTTTACTATATTCCTCTCTTGTCTTAATAATATGATTTTATGCAGCTAGCTTTAAATGCTTTTCTTTCCTATTGAGCGATGATAGCACTAGTGATCTTGAATTTTTGTGGATATCACTTTGTAATAATTAATTGAATGGTCAAAGTCATGATTGTGCTTTGTGTCGTGTAGATGAAACGAAAGGATATAAGCATTGATAAAGTATATGATGCACGTGCACTAAGAGTAGTTGTGGGAGACAAGAATGGAACTTTACACGAAAGGATATAAGCATTGATAAGTATATTTATTTTAACTTTTTTTCTTATAAATATTACGAGTTCTGAATATGTTTATGTGTCTAAATTTTTTATTCCAGTGGCAGCTACACTCTCATAATAATACATATATATTTTACCATTAATTATTTTTTTCATGTAGGATTATCAAACTATTACTTCACCACCTGTCTATATTAGTCCATTTGACTTAGGTCCTAAGTATGCTGATAAATTAAGAGTAGAGTTTTAGGAGTTGTTTGCCCTGCAAATAAGCATGATTTTTTTTGAAAAAAAAAATCAATCTACATCGGTTCTCTTGAGAACTGATGTAGATTTAAGCTTAAATCTACATCGGTTCTCCAGAGAACCGATGTAGATTTATGCTTAAATCTACATCGGTTTTTCAGAACCGATGTAAAAAACTATACATTTTCTACATCGGTCTATTCTACATCGGTTTTAGAACCGATGTAGATGGCTTTAGAGAACCGATGTAGAATGTGCATATTGTAGTAGTGATCCTCAACCGCATGCTGATGATCACCTGTATAATAATCAAAGGAAAACAACACAAAAAAAGGGAGTGAGAAACATCTCACTCTAGCTCACGGTGTAGGAATACACACCAGATAATCAAACACAAACAAGACATATATATGTACATAACATAGATAGATTAAAAAAAATATCACATCCCACTCACCAAAGACATAAAAATCAAGTTAACATATAACATTAAAAATGCACATGTAATGGACATGGACTACATATTATCATGCATAGGACGCCAATAACACATCACATGGTGTATTGTCACTAGCAACACACATAGAGTAGTCTAGGAGTACATGTCGAGTCACACCCTTTGTGCAGTCTCACTAGAAGGACATACTACCAGGGTAAAGTCGGGATAGCTAAGCCGCGCAAGATACATCCCATGCACACAATGTGTGAGGCTGAGACTTACAAACCGAGTTATCCCCAATGACTAATTCCCAAGCTTTTACACAAGGGGGCCTTTCATGGCGGTGTATTCCATATCATACCCTTAAAACATTTATACAAATGATGCATGTAATTCAAGACTCTATGCATTCTCATATCACATTATCATGTCTCATTATCATATACTATTATATGTCTCATTGTCATATAACATTATCATGTCATTATGTCGTATCAAATTTTCTCACATCACATACTCATCAACTATATTCACTAGAGGATAACATTGAGTAACACAAGAGATTCACATCATTAATTGTATATCATAGATCTCTTCATACAATCGGAAAACACGTTCTAAATCATATGATAAATATTTAAAACAATACAATTTACTCATATAATTACCTCTTCAAACAATCTCCTCTTACAACTATCAATGCATTCCCTTAGGGTTTCCTATATAGGAACTCATAGAGATATCAAATCATACAATTAATTACATATAAGAAGAGCAATAGATAAAACAGATACAATTGAGAAAAACCCCTCATACATGATTATACAACAAATATAGGATTGGGGTCAATCTCACTACCCAACATACATTCTCACACCCAAAGCGAGGTTTCCCACTCTCTCCTTACCTCGATAATCAGGAGATGAAATTAACTAGAGCAGGATCTTGCTGGTCTCCTCCTCTTGGTTTTCCTTGGTCTTTAGAGAGTGCAGAAGAAAAAAAAGTCGAAAGCGAATAAATGCTTTTGGTAGTGTTAGAGTGTACTATTTATAGACGTCAGAAGTGGGCAAAATGACCCATTTTGGATCTAGAACGGCCCGTTCTAGATTCATTCATCATGTGTTAAATTCGCGTCTAGAACGATTCGTTCTTAAACCAGAACAACTCGTTCTGGAGTTGAGTTTTAACTCATAACGGCATGTTTGGAACGACCCGTTTCCAACTAGGATTTTAGACCTTTTTGGTGGTTTGGAACGCCCCGTTCTAGTTTGGGAACGCCCCATTCCTGTTTGGGAACACCCCGTTCCAGTTTGGGAACGGCTCGTTCTGAGCTACTAAAATTTAAAATATTTAATAATTAACAAACATATATATATATATATATATATATATATATATATAATATATTTGTTTCTTCCAACACAATTATAATTAAAATAAAATATATAAATAATTACAATTATAACACATAATTTTCTTCAAATACTTATTATAACAAAATATCATAAGAATACATAGTTCTCTAATAAATAATTATAAGAAAATAATTTCCATAAATATAAAAATAAATAATAATTTATATATTATATTAGTAAAATATTCGGGATGTTACAACTATAATACTTATTATTTATTTAAAACAGAGAATTTAATCAAATTAAATTTCTTAAATAGTAAATTAATGATTGGATATTTTAATCTACAATTAATATCAATTAATATTGTTTCATTTTTATTTATGATTAAAATTAGTTTATTTGTAACTGAAAGTTAACAAAATTTAATCTCTTAATTGATAAATTTGTTTGCATAGTATTTTTTGAATTTTATTTTTTATAATTAAATTTAATCTCTTGATTATTAACTAATATGGTTATTTATATAATTATTAATTTACTAAGTAAATAAATTTGAATATATTTGTTACTAAATAGAAATATAGAAGGAAAATAAAAATAATATTATAGAAAGTTCTATATAGATAATATATGATTGTCACTTTCAATTTCTATTAAAATTAAAATAAATAAATCATAAGACAATGAACATGCAAGTAAGGATCCAATTCAACATTAACAATTTTTTTTTATTTTCCTGCAAAATAAAAAGTTGTATGTTAACAAATAAATTAAAATTCAATATATGTAGGTAGGACATAAATTAGATAAAATATGTGACAAATTAAGAATAATACAAAAAAAAATGAAAAAAGTAGTACTTTCTATCATGTGAGATGAAAATTAAATAGAGAGAGTAGGAAATAAATTAGATAAAATGTAAACATGTAATATAGAGGATTGAGGGAAAAAAAAGGCAAGAAAAAGTAGTGTCTTTCATTTTTGACAAAGGTTTCTATGTGAAATAAAAAAAAAAAAAAAGGGTGATAGATATATTAGATAGAATGTAAATATATAATATAAAAGGTAGAGGAGAAAAAAAAAAGAAGAAGAAAAAGCAATACCTTTCAATTCTAACTAAGATTGTCATGTGAAATGAAAAATACACATAGAGAGTGAGAGCTATATTAGATAGAACGTAAATATGTAATATAAAAGATAGACGAGGCAAAAAAAAAAAAAGGAAGAAAAAGTAGTACCTTTCATTTCTGACAATGATTACCATGTAAGATGAATTAAACAAAGAGGATGAAAGATAAATTAGATAGAACGTAAATATGTAATATGAGTAGAGGATGTAACACCCCGAATTTCATATCTTATAATAAATAGTATTTTAGAAATTATTTTCGCGTTTAATATATTTATTTTAGAGTTTTGGATATTATTTAATTAGTTATATGAGCTTTATTTTAATTATGTGACACAATTTGTAATTATATTTTGTTTAATTAGTGGAGTAAGAGTTATTTTTATGAAATGTATTTTATTATTAATAATTATGTTTAAGTTATCTTATAAAAGGGAGAAGATATGTTTAATATTATTATTATTAATAATTTGAGAAAAGGGAGGTTATTATAAGTTATTAGAGTCATTCCACACATTCACTTATTCCTGACTCATTTTCTTTATACGCTGACCAATGAGAACCTAAAGGAGAGAACCATCCTGATTTCGATCGTGCTTCATCTTATGTTCATCAAGGTAAGGGGGGAGTGAGAAACCTCGCTCAGGGGTGTGAGAATGATTTTTGGGTAGCAGGACTGACCCTCAATCCCTTGCTTGATGCATGCTTTAGGAACAGGCAAATTATGAAACTTTTCTGTTTTAATATCTGAGTTTTCTGTTGGATTTCTAGTTGGATGTGATGCATGAATATGTATTTGATTTCAAAATTATATAAGTTTTGATATGAATTAGAGTGCTCTATGGGTTTTTGTGGGAAACCCTATGAGAAACAATTAGGGGTATGATCTTTTGACAAGATTTGAGGTATTTTATGTAAAATTGAGTATGAATTTAGGTTCTAAGTGTTATTTGGAGGATTTTTACCAATTGATTTATATGATTACATGTTGGTTGTGAAAAATCGTCTAATTTTGAAGTGTAGGTTCGCACTAAGGGGGTTGGGCGCAGTTCTTCGCGCCGAGTGCAAATTAATAATTTCCCATGAAAAATTGAGCTAGGCTCAGGAAAATTGAGTCGGGCTCAAGAAAGTTGTGTCGGGCGCAAGAACATTGAGTCGGGCTCAAGAAAGTTACGTCGAGCGCAAGAAAGTTGCACCGAGCACAGGAAAGTCACTCAGAGTGTGCTCAGGTCACGCCAAACGTAATGCTTCACTTTTGGTGCGGCATCTAATGTACTGGGCACGAGTTGGGGCACGCCAGGTGTGACCCCTGTGATTTTATATGTTTTATGTCATGTTTGAAGGTGCAAATTGTGTGGAAATTGACTTAGTACTATGTTAGCGTATGTGATGTGTTTTATAAGCATGATAAGGACATTAATCTCCAAATGATGATCTTATGAGCATGATTATGAGAAATGTGAAAGGTGAAATGTGAACAAGTGACATGACACATGAAATTTCTTGACAAGTAAAATGTTAAGTCCATGAGTTTGTGAAGGTGTAACATGCATCATATGCATTTATGTGACGAGGAACGATATGGAGTACATCGTTAGGGAAGGCCCTCCAAGTGTGAAACATCTTGGAGGAGTCCTAGGGGATAGTGCGATTTGGAAGGCCCACTTCTGCCCGTTTGTGTGCATGGGGCGTATCTTGCGCGACTTTCTTATCCCAACGAGACCCTAGCAATACATCCTTCTAGTTGAGAGTGCACGGTTGAGCTGACATGTACTCCTAGAATAATCTAGGTATGTTGCTTCGGAAGCATACCACGTGATATATGTGATTATAAGACACGTGACTAGTGCCACATGCATTCATTTATGAGTCAAGTCCATGACATCATTGCATGATAAATGAGTGTGCATGTAATACTAATATTGTATGTGTATTGTTTATATGTGATTGGTGATGGAGGACCATCCTTGAAGACACATGTGGGCCCCATCACTAGGTCCATGGCTAGGAGGGTCGAAGAGGAGGAGGGTGTTCACACACCTAGGGATACTCTCCTCATGATCATAGAGTATTAGTACTCTCCTAAGCCTCATTAGTATAGGGTTTATTTTATTTGCCAATTTTACCCTTGTATTTTGGGGTATTTTAGTCATAGGATTTATTTTCTTTGTATTTCCTATTTTACCCTTGTATTATGGGGTGCTTTAGATGATTAGGGTTTTTAATTTTGGGCTAGGGTATTACATAGGAGGTGACGCCTAGTTTGGTGAGTTTGGACCTATTTTT